GTACTCTGCAACAATTACTCCAATAATTAATAAATGACTAATTCCTAAAAAAATTAAAAAAAAATCCTGACCTCGTGTGAGATGTGGGAATTGTTTGGCTCACAATTTTCCTGGTAATTGTTCTTTACTAGAAATTTGGTCTTTACCTGGCCTCTTAGAGTTTCATCTGTGCATGCAGAGATTTCTTAAACTTCTCTGCATAGCACCCTTCTCTCTGGTGCTGCAGTTTACAAAGTCTAGCCACCTCAGCTTCCATGAACTCTGATCTTTATTTTTTGAACTCAGTGAGATCACTTGGACTGTGTTTTGGTTCTTTTCCCTGCATTGTGGTCCCAGATTTACCTTTAACAAGATGCTCTGGCAACCATAAGGTTCACCTTGTTTGTTTTCATTCCATTAGAAACCATAGTTCTGTGCTACCTGGTGTCCAAAGCCTGAAAACAGGTTTGCCCTCCTATATATCGTCCATTTTTTTCTGGTTGTTTGTGGCAACAGGGTAATTCAGACCTTGTTGTTCTCTCTTGTTTGGGTAATAGATATTTTAAAGCCTTTGTCTGCTAATATCATCATCTTTGTCATTTTTTGCATCTGTTTACATTAGCAGATTTTTATCCTGTTTGTGTGTCACATTTTCATGCATCTTTATGTGTCCAGTATATTTTAGCTGGGTACTAGACGTGAATTTTACTTTGTTGAACATTAGATTTTTTTTTTTTAAGAGTACTGGATTTGTTCTGACAGGCTGTTAAATTATTTGTGGATCAACTGATAATTTCAAGGTTGTTTTTAAGCTTTAATAGGGCAGGTATAAGGAAGCTTTTTCTCTAAGACTGGTTTAGCCCTACCATTAAAGTGCGTGATAGAGTTCTCTATTAAATACCCGGCCCAGATTGTTCATGAACAACTCTTCACTTTGGCAGGTTCAAACATTGATATTTCCCCAGCTGTTTATCAGCTGTGGGATTGTTTACTTTAGAGCTCTCCAATTGTTTTTTCTCAGGCTTCTGGAGTTTCTCCCTGTGTATTCATGGCTCAGTATTCAGCAACACTCTCAAGGAGACTTCTAGGCAAATTTCTGGTATCCTTTTTATGTAGATCTCTTATTTTTGGAACTTTCCCTGACATATTTCAGATGCTTATTTCTGTCTCCTCAATTCAGCAAAACTACTGTGCTCTCATTGAAGTTCCTCTCCTCAACCAGAGACTGGGAAGTGCCTCCAGACCGAAATCTGGGATGGTTACAGGGCTCATCTTGTTTTCCTTCTCTTGCTGCCTTGTTGTCCAATGACTAGAAGCAATCCTCCCTCCTTCCCTCCTTTTTTTCCTTCTTCTCTTCCTTCTTTTCTTCCTCCAACCCCCTTCTTCCTTCTCCCCCTCCCCCTTCTCTTGTCTCTCCTAATTTTCTAGTTTTTAACAGTAAGAGGATAAATTGAGTCCCAGTTAGACCTATTGTTGCTGGAAACAGAAGCACTATATATCTTTTTAAAAATCCTTTTTACCTCTTTGTTTCTAATAACAGTAATATAGCTTGATTTTTTAAAAATTCAATCTGAGAATATCTTTCTATTAACCAGTAGGATTAATCTATTTGTATTGGTTTGAATTACTGGCACAATTAAGTTTACTGTTACTGATTTATTTTTTACTTTCTGCTTGTCATGATTCTTTTGTGTTTCTTTTCTTTTATCTGTCTTGTCTGTGTTTGTTTTCTTCACACACTTTCTACCCTTACTGTTCATTGGTTTGGAAGTTATAGATTCTCAATCTATTCTTTTAGCAGTTAACATTGTAACACACACATTTAACAAAGTCTACTGTTAGTATCTCCAACCCTCCTCCTAAATAGTATGTGGTTTTAGGAATATTTGAAAATTGAATATTTTAATACCTTGCATACAAATGCATGTATGCTCTTTTATTTTCTCTCCTACACATTCACTAACCAATCTTTTATGATATTGTTGTAACTATTTTAATTTTACCCTGTTGTTTTAAATCTTTTTAAAAAATCATTAGTGTTTTTCTTAATCTTTAAGTTAATGTTTACTAGTATCCACCCATGTTTACAAAATTCTTCATCTTTGCTTCTTATATTTTGTTTCTTCCTTCTAAATTCATTTTCCTTTCCTCAAACTTTCTTTCTTTGATCTGTGAGTCAATTTCCTCAACTTTTGTTTTAAAATGGCTTTATTTTACTCTCACTCTCATATATTAGTTTAGCTGAATATAGAATTCCAGGTCGAGAGTTTATTTCCCTTGATAATGTTAAAATAATTATCTTTTGTTGTTGAGAAGTCTGTTTTCATTGTAATTGTCATTCTTTGTAAGTCTGTCTTTTGTCATTGGTTCCTTTTAAGGTATCCTCTCTTCTTTGTGTGTAGTCTCACTAATATATGTCTAGGTATGAATTTATTTTTTTGGAGGGGGTGGGGTCTTTGGTTTTGTTCCACCTTTTCAGTCAGAGTAACCATGCCTTTTATTGGTCTGGAAAAATTCTTAGATGTTATTTCTTTGACTCTTACTGCCTCCAAATTTACTGTCTCCTTTAACTTTTATAATGTACTTTTTGGATCTTCTAGACCAAATGTTTATCACTATTTTAATCATAGTTTTCATAAGTTTATCTCTCTGTGCTGTGATCTGTCTTCTAGTTCATTCTTCCCTCTTAAGCTGTACTAGTCTGTTCTTTGATCCATTCATTAATTTTTCATTTTTGTGACTTTTTCTTTCTTTCTTAAAGTCCTATTTAATTCTTCTTCATATAACTAGTCTTTTCAATTTTTCTTTAATGTCTTTAAAACTTTTAAGCATATTTTTCCATGCCTCCTAAAATACCTTGTTCAATAATTTGAAGTTCTAGAAGTTTGATCCTGCTATGTATTATTTTACTCTGACTCTCACTCATAGTGGCTTGTGTTCTCCACCATTTGACTCTAAATTCCTCATGAGAAGAACTCCCCCCCCTATAGAATCTTGCATGGCCAGGGAGATGGGTGAGCCTCTACAAAGGGACAAACTTTATGTTGATGTTTAGAATTTAAGATGGGTTATATAAAGTCTGACTTCAAAAATGGATAAAGTCAGACCTAAGGTTTTGATTTCTTACAGAAGACATTTTTTCCCCTTTCCAGAGATGAGGTCAAGATAAATTTCTGTCTGTATCTCTGTGAGGTTGAGTGAATTTGTTTCCCCCCTGGAGCCTTCTCTCAAGGGTCCCAGAATATAGAGGTCTTAGTTCCAGTTCTCCATTAATCCAAAATTCTTGTCTCCTGTCCTTGCTTGAATGTTAAAACACAAGCCATTTACTGTTAGTGGCTCTTTCTATCCCCAGCTTTTAGCCTTAGGCTTATTCATTTGCTTCCTGCTCTGGCCTTGTTTTCTCTTTGTTTTAGGCATGTGAGAATTTTTCTTTCTTTTATGCCAGCTTATCTATGAATTACAAAAATAATTTTTGTTCTGTTTTATCTTAGCCTTTAAGAGAAGGTTTTCTTCTTAATCACCTATCTTATTACAACCTGAAACATATAGAGTAATCATTCCAGAACACAAAACTGATCACATTACTTCCCTCTTTTAGACCTTTTAGTGGGTAACGACCTAATTTTTAACCCACTGACTGGGATCTGTCTTGTAAGTTTTGTATACCTTTTCAGTTGCAGTGCCTGTCGCTCCTCACTGTGATATGAGCTCTAGCCATACTAGCCTTTTTTCTCTTCTTGGAGCCTATCATTTTCCGTCCCCTGACACAGCCCTTAGTGCCAAAGCTTTGCACTTAGCATTTATTCCTGACTTGAAAAGATGCTCTCCCCAATACATACTCTTCATATCTATTCACCTTTCAAATCTCATTCAGCTCAGCTGTCATTTGCTCAGGAAATCCTTTCCTGACTTCCCTGACTCTCTCAGTTTAGGTCATTCCTTTTTTATACATTTTTTTTTTCTCTAGAAGTATTTGCTTAATATGTATTAATGTATTCATCTGTATGATTATTTAATTGATTTATGACTCCCCCCTAGTTGAAGTTTTTTGAGAGCAGAGACTACTTCCTGTATCATTGGATATGCATCTAGGTACATTGACTGGCACGTAGAATATATTCAATAAGTATAGAATGGATGGATAAGTGCGTAAATGTATGGATAAAAAATTATTTAAAGAACAAATGAGAAATAGAGTGAGGGAGGAAGGGAAGAAGAAAGTTAAGAGTGAATTGTGGCCAAATAATTTATTCCAGGAGCAATTTTTTTGTGCTTTGTATTTGCAAAATTTGTAAAAATAGAAAATGTCTACATTTGCTTCACAGTTCTGTTATCTTCACATAATAGCAAATACTTTTCTGTAGGTGGCAGTGTACTTACATAAAACATTTTTTTTTCCTGAAAAATAGGGGCGTTTATATTGAAAAAGGGCCGTTTGAACACATTTATATAACTTGAATCGCACCATTTTTAAAACATACTCTTATCACTCATAAAGTAGATTTATTAATTTATACTTGCCCAGAGTATTTTTCCCCCCAGATATTAGTAAGTGCTAGAGAGTTATCAGTCTTCATTTTATGATATTACGGTCAATATCAGCATGCCTTTCAAGAATTGAAAAATGGGTATTGTGGGTGAAATAGTGGCCTATGTTTTGTTTGTCACTTTGTTGTTTAAGACAATGATAATACTTATATTGTAGAATAATTGTAACTGTGACAAATACAGACAAATATAGACCAAACGTGTGTATCTCAGCCAGCTGTGAGGCTGAGACTTTTAAGTGGAAAAAGTTGTTTTCCAAATATGATCATTTGAGTACCTTACCCGTAGATTTTATGTATATAAATTGAAACCCAAATTTATGTTTCCCGGAGTGTTTTACACATATTTTACTACCTGTATCATCTAAAGCTCCTTATAATGTAAGTGTACCTTCATTAAAAGATGTGTCCCATTTTGTGTTCCATGTCATAGTTTTTTTCCAACTTAAAAAAATAATAATTTTGTTTTTGCAGCACTTAAATGCAGAAAGGTCTTACAAGTCCCAGATTTCTACCTTACATAAATCTCTTGTAAAGATGGAAGAGGAGCTTCAGAAGGTTCAGTTTGAAAAAGTGTCTGCCCTTGCAGACTTGTCTTCCACAAGGGAACTCTGTATTAAACTTGACTCAAGCAAAGAACTTCTTAATCGACAGCTGGTTGCTAAAGATCAAGAAATTGAAATGGTATGTGATGCATTTAAAATTTTTTAAAAAATATTTCTATTACTATAAAATTACTACAAGTTTAGAAAAACAAGTTCTTTTTTGAAATAAAATACTACATCAAGCCCTGTCTTTCACCTTTTGTATTTTTAAGTCCAAGAGATTAATTTGACAGGTGTATTCCAACAACTCAAGTATGTAACAGAAATCTTCCTTTGAGTATTTAATTTACATTTACTTTGGCCAGAGGAATGATAAATCAAATTTACCTACCAATAACTAAAGAACCACAGGTTGAGGTTTATCCAGCTAAATTATAACTTTGATGACATTCTTCTAAGCTAAACTTATTTACTAATTGGGTTCTTTTGAACTGTAATTCAGTTGATTACTGTGTTCCTGAAGTCATGCTTGCCACTGTGAATATAACATTCAAAAGATACAGGCTCCTGTCCTCAAGGAACTTTTGGTATTGACATACAAATAATTTAGGATGAATGATTTACTAGGAAGAGATACTCAAGGTTTTAGAGAAGGAGTTTCTATTCAGCCTGTTAGTGTCAGGTAGGAGTTCACAAGGAGTGCACAATGAGCACAGAAGAGATGAGGCTGGTTCATTCAGTGGGAGCAATAAAACAGGGAATGTATGGAGGTGAAAATGAATTCTTGAGGGAAGAGTAAGTAATTTTTTTTCCTTTTCTTTTTTAAAATAATTTTTATATCATGTTTATTCTATTACAGTTGTCTCAATTTTTCCCCCTTTACTCCCCTCCACCCATCACCCCCACCTCTGCTTCCATAGTCAATTCCTACTCTGTTGTCCATGTCTATGAGTCATTCATACATGCTCTTTGTCTAGTCCCTTCCCCTTCTTTCCCCCATTGTCCTCTTTCCCCATCCCTTCTGGTCACTTTCAGTCTGCTCCATGTTTCCATGCCTGTGGTATATTTTGTTCATTAGTTTATTTTGTTGAATAGAGTCCACTTATAGGTGAGACCATATGGTATTTCTCTTTCACCAACTGGCTAATTTCATTTAGCATAATATTCTCCAGTTCCATCCATGCTGTCACAAGAGGTAGGAGTTCCATCTCTCCCTTCCTTCCTCCCTTTCTTTCTCTTTCTTTTTGTTTTTTATTCTTAAATGCAGATTGATTTTATTTTTTTAAATGTCAAAGTTAATTATAAGATATTAAAAAATTTAAAACTATTCTAAAGTCTCAACAATTAAAACAACATGACACCAGCACAGAAATAATCAAGTAGATCAATGAAATAAAATGAAAATTCTAGAGACAAACATATATCTGTCTAACAATGCAATATATGATTCAATTGATATTTCAAATCAATGGGGAAAATAAGGCTTATTTAACAAATAAGGTGCATGGACCACTATCACTTGATATCATACAAATATAGAGCGCTGTTTCACACATTATACAAGAAATATTCAGGTGAGTTAAAAATCAATATGTAAAATCTAAGGAGTTTTAGGAGAAAATACAAAATTACATTTTTCTACCCCAAAGTGAAATATTCAAACCCAGAAGCTATAAAATAAAATACTGACAATATGACTATATTAAACATTTAAGACTATATAGTAATATACATATAAAAAAATTAAAGGGCAAGTATTAGAATGGGAAAGTATTTGCCACACATCTAAAAAAGGGTTAATAGTTTTTTGGGGGTTTTTTTTTGGGGGGGGTTAATAGTTTTTTGTTTTGTTTTAAGGGAAAATATTCTACAAACCTCTAATCAATAAATACATAAAGAATACCAAAAAGTCATTTAAAACGTTTTAAAAATAATAGAAATAGGCAAGAAATCTATAAAAATAGGTTTATTTTCAACAAATAATAAAGGAACAATTAAAATAACACATCATTATCACAATCAGATTAATATGTATTAAAAAATATTGGCACTGTCAAGTATTTGCTACTGTGAAAGGAACTCGGTATTCATAGACTCTTTTTCTTCATGTTAAAGCAGTCCCTTTAGCATATTTTACAGTGCTGGTTTGGTGGGGGTGTATTCTTTTAGCCTTCTCTTGTCTGGGAAATTCCTTATTTTGCCTTCCATTTTAATTGAGAGCCTTGCTGGGTAGAGCAGTCTTGGTAACAGGCCTTTGCTTTTCATGACTTGGAATATTTCTTGCCATTCCCTTCTGGCTTGCAGTGTTTCTGTTAAGTCAGCTGCTAGCCATATTGGGACTCCCTTATATGTTACTACCTGTTTCTCCCTTGCTGCCTTTAGGATTCTCCCTTTGTCTTTGATACTTGCCATTTTCATGATGATGTGTCTTGGAGTGGGCCTTGTTAGGACCCTCTGTGCTTCCTGGACTTGTGTGACTTTTTCTCTCCTTCAATTAAGGAAATTTTCCATCATGACTTTTTCAAACAGGTTCTCTATCCCTTGCTCCGCTTCTTCTCCTTTGGTATCCCTATTATATGGATATTATTGCATTTCGGGTTGTCCTGCATTTCCCAAAATGACCCTTCATTCTTTTTCAGTCTTTGTTCATTTTCTTGCTCTTTCTGGGAGCTTTATTCTACCTTGTCCTCCAGCTCGCTGATTCAATCCTCCGCTTCATCTAGCTTGCTTTTGATTTCTTCTACTGTGTTATTCAATTCAGAAATTGTGTTCTTCATTTCCTCTTGTCTCTTATTGATAGTTTCTATGTCCTTTTTCATGTTGATACAGTTTGCAGTAAGTTCTTCATGGTTTCTTTGTTAATTCTCTCTGAGCTCATCGAGCTTCCTTAGAACCGTTGTTTGGAACTCAATATCTGATAGTTCCCTTGCCTCTATTTCATTTAGTTCTCTTTCTCGGGATTCCTCCGTACCCTTAAAGTGGGGGTATTTCTTTTTCTTCCCATTATTTGTGAGACTCTTCTTTGCTTCTGCTTCTTAAATTGATCTGTCTTGATTTCCTGGCTTTGTGGTGTGAACTTCTGTGGTAGGAGACCACTGTTTTTACTTTCTGGATCTGCCTCTGATGGTGTCAGATGTATTCCCTGTCTGACCTTAGGCAGCCTGTTCCAGGATCCAGGAATCTACTGTCTGTGGCTGTCTCCTTCAGCTGTTAATCTAGTCACTCTGTATTCAGCAGGCTGGCTTAGACAGCCTATGGTGGGGCGGAGTCCCTCCTAGTGGCGGGGTTATTGGGTCCTCTCACACTGCTTCCACTCAGGGGAGTGGTCTCTGCCTGAGCCAGATGGCTGCTTCCGTATGGGGGGAAGAGTCAGCACTGGGATCCCACCAGCTACTCTCACTGTTCTCTCCCCAAAGTCTCCATCCCCAGTCTCTCCTCAATTGTTTCTAGACCACTCTGCATCCTCTTTAGCCAGGGATCTACTGTCTGTGGCTGCCACTCTGCACTCAGCAGGCGGCTTTGACAGCAAAAGGAGGGGTGGAATCCCACCTGAGAGTGGGGCTTTTGGGTGCTCTGACACTGCTGCTCAGGGGGAGTCATCTCTGCCTGAGCAAGATGGCTGCTGCCACATGGGGGATGAGTCAGCACTGGGATCCTGCCAGCCACTCTCTCAGTTCTCTCTCGAAAGCCTCATTCCCCACTCTCTCCTCAGGCATCTCTAGCCCACTCTGCCCCTGCCTTTGCTGGAGACCAGGGTAATTGGCTGCACATAAAAATTTATGCTTTGGTCCTTTAAACAGCTCTGAGTCTACAGACACCTGTCTCTGACAGAGAGCAACCCTTCCACTTTTCACATCTGGCTGTTTTATGTGTACTTTTTGGGCTCTGTAGGCTGGAGATCCCCGCTTTTGGTTTAGACCCCATTCTTTTCAGGGGGATCCAACTGGTCCTTTCAATATCCTTCTGGTGCTGCCACCCATGGGCGCCCCGCCTGCCTTCTTGAGTCTCTACCACACTTCTTACCAGTTAGATTGTGTTAAAGCTGATTCTTCTTTCTCCAAGGTTATGAGTCTCCTCCTTCGCTATCGTTCAGTTGTTTGTTTCAGGTGATTTCTCCACAATTTAGTTGTAATTCCAGATTGGTCCTGGGAGGAGATCAGTGTGACTTCCATTCACTCCCCAGCCATCCCTCTTTGTAGTGTCCTCCTTTGTCTCTTACTGTAGCTTTGGTTTCAAAGTCTATTTTGTCAGATATAGGTATTACTACCCCAGCTTTTTTTTTCCTTTCCATTTGCATGAAATATCTTTTCTGTTTCTTTACTTTTAGTCTATGTCTGTCTTTTTTCTGAGGTGCATCTCTTGGAGTTAGTTTATATATGGGTCTCATTTTCTTATCTGTTCACCTATCCTGTGTCTTTTTGGGGGGCATTTAAACCACTTCTATTTAAGGGGATTATTGTTAGATATATATTTTGCACCATATTTTTGTTAGGCTATTTTCCTCTGCTTTTTTTTTCCTTCTCTTTTTCTTTTTCTCCTTCTTAAAGCAAGCCCTTTAACATTTGTTGCAGTAGTGGTTTGGTGTTAACAAAAACTCCTTTAGCTTTTTCTTGTCCAAGAAGCTCCTTTTTTCTCCTTTGATTTTAAATGATAGCCTCGCTGGATAAAGTTGCTTTGGTAGGTCCTTGCTCTTCACCATCTTGAATATTTCATTACATTCCATTCTGGCCTGAAATGTTTCTGTTCAGAAATCAGATGACAGTCTAATTGGTTCTCCCTTTTAAGTAACTACTTGCTTTTCTCTCACAGCTCTTAGGATTCTCTCCCTGCCTTTAAGGTTTCTCATTTTAATTATAATGTATCTTGGTGAAGGCCTCTTTGGGTCCAACTTGTTTGGGACTTCCTGAGCTTCCTGGACTTGTGTGTCTTTTTCTTCGTCAGATCAGGGAAGTTTTCAATCATTATTTCTTCATATAGGTCCTTGATCCCTTGCTCACTCTCCTTCCTGTATTCCCATGATACAGATGTTGTTACTCTTCATGTTGTCCAAAATGTTTCTTAAGCTTTCCCCATTTTAAATTTTTTCTTTCTTTTTGTTGTTGTCTACTTTCTTTTATTATAAACACATTGCATAAGGCTTTGTGGAAAATTTGTAAAATATTAAAAGTCTGAAGAAGAAAAAACTCTTCCATCCTTCTACCACCCAAGGAATGCCATCACCATTAACATTATCATGTCTACTGTCTTTTATTTTTTATTTTATTTATTTTTATTTTTTAATATATATTTTGATTATGCTATTAGTTGTCCCATTTTTTCTCCCATTTATTCCCCACTGCCCTGCACCCTCCCTCCCACTAGCTCTTCCCATCCTCAGTTCATGTCCATGGCTCATATATATAAGTTCTTTGGTTTCTCCATTTCCTACACTATTCTTAACCTCCCCTTGTCTATTTTATACCTATCAATTATGCTTCTTATTCCCTGTTCCTTTTCTCCTATTCTTCCCCCTGCCCCCTCCCCACTGATAACCCTCCATGGGATCTCCATTTCTGTGATTCTGTTCCTGTTCTAGTTGTTTTCTTAGCTTGTTTTTGTTTTTGTTTTGTTTTTAAGTTCAGTTGTTGATAGTTGTGAGTGTGTTGTCATTTTGCTGTTCATAGTTTTGCTCTTCTTCTTTTTCTTAGATAAGTCCCTTGAACATTTCATATAATAAGGGCTTGGAGATGGTGAACTCCTTTAACTTGACCTTATCTTGGAAGCACTTTATCGGCCCTTCCATTCTAAATGACAGCCTTGCTGGATAGAGTAATCTTGGGTGTTTGTAGGTCCTTGCCTTTCATGACTTTGAATACTTCTTTCCAGCCTCTTCTTGCCTGCAATGTTTCTCTTGAGAAAACAGCTGGTAGTCTTATGGGAACTCCTTTGTAGGTAACTGTCTCTTTTTCTCTTGCTGCTTTTAAGATTCTCTCCTTATCTTTCATCTTGGAGAATGTACTTATGATGTGTCCTGGTGTGTTCCTTGGGTCCAATTTCTTTGGGATTCTCTGAGCTTCCTGGTCTTGCATGTATAGTTCCTCTCCAGATTGGGGAAGTTTTCCTTCCTTATTTTTTCAAGTAAGTTTCCAATTTCTTGCTCTTGCTCTCCTCCTTCTGGCACCCCTATGAATCAGATGTTGGAATGTTTAAAGTTGTCCCAGGGGTTCCTAAGCCTCTCCTCATTTTCTTCAGTTCTTGTTTCTTCATTCTGTTCCGGATGAATGTTTATTTCTTCCTTTTGTTCCATATTGTTGATTTGAGTCCTGGTTTCCTTCCCTTCACTGTTGGTTCCCTGTATATTTACTTTCTTTTACTTTGCATAGCCTTCACTTCTTCCTCTGTTTTGCAACCATACTCAATCATTTCTGTGAGCATCCTGATTGCCAGTGTTTTGAACTCTGCATCTGATAGATTGGCTATCTCCCCATCACTTAGTTCTTTTTCTGGAGCTCTGGTCTGTTCTTTCATTTGGGCCATGTTTCTTTGTCTCAGTGCACCTGTTATGTTGTAATTGGCAGAAGCTTAGGTATTCACCAGGGTGGAGCAACCCTGTTGGATGTGTTTTGGTGTTGTATGTGGGGGAGGGGTCAGAGAGGGAAAAATGCCTCTTGCTCATCTCTCTCTGACTTTCAGTCACTTCCCACAAGCAGATTGTGCCCTTTCAGGTGCCAATTCCCAGGTGCATGTGCTTGTGTACTTTCCAGGACCCCTGGGGTCTCTCCAACAAACTCTTCTGTGAGGTTGGGAGTTTTTATGCTACCATAAAACCCATTGGTTTTTACAGCCAGAGATTATGAGTGTTTATTTTCCTGGTGCTGGAACCCTGGGTTGCATGGTCTATCTGACTCCCCAGTTGTTCCTTCTGACTTATCCACACATGAATATGGGACCCCCAGTCTGCCAGCTGCCACCTCGCCCTCCTGGTCCATCATCTTGCCATGCATCCTTTTTGCCCGGCTTCCCGCCTTTGCCCCTCCTACCAGTGTGAGTGAATGTTTCTTCTTTAACTCCTTGGTTGTCAGACTTCCATACAGTTCAGTTTTCTGGCAGTTCTGGTTGGTTTTTGTTTTTAATTTTGTTTTTGTCCTTTTGTTTGTGCAAGGAAGCAAAGTATATCTATCTATGCCTCTACCTTGGCCAGAAGTCCAAAAAGGTGAATATTTTCAAAGTTAAGAAACTCTGGACTAGAACTAGTAACTTGTTTTAATTTATATTTCTTTGATTATTCATAAAGATACATTTTTATGTGTTTACTAATGAGTTATATTTTGTAAATTTTCTGTTCACGTCTCATCAATTTGTATGAATTCCTTATATTAGTAAGATATTAACTTTTTATTTACTGTTTATTTTCTTCCAACTGTTTCCTTGTAAATTTTAAGTTTATATTGACTATCAATGTGTTTTTATTTGGTCAGACATCATATGTTAATTATATCTAGTCTGGAAGATTCCCCTATCTGCCTATCCCTCCTCCAATAATTTCATTTTTATTAAATTCTTCTTTCTTAGAGTTTTATCTTTTTACATTTAATTTTTTAAAATGCATATGTAATATGTAATGTGAGATAATTTTATGAATAATTTTTTTCTAAATAGTGATGTCTGGTTTTCTTCCATTTGAAGAAATACTTGGCTTACTAAATGTATCCCAAGTTCAAGATAACCTTCAGAAAATGAAGCTTTACAAGGGTTTATGCTAGAAAGGGAATGCATAATGTCTGCTTATCTTCCTTAACGATGGAGTGCAATGTAGTTAGGTGTTCCTAATTTGCCTAATTCAGTACAAAACAGAATCACAGATATCACCATATCCATCTTGCAGAAGTTTATAAATAAATATCAAAGCTGGAATGGGAAATTGTTTGCAATTTTGGATTAATAACTCATTACTTATTAATGAATATTCTGATATAATCAAAGAGTTGGGGAAAGTGATACTGTGTGTGTGTATTTAGTAAGAAAGACAATATTTCTAAAGAAATTAAAAGCAGTTGTTAGTTTATAACATAATACAGAAATTTTATGAATATCTGATTGTCTATCAGTAAAATGAATGAGTGAGAATAAGTATAGATATCTTCCTATTGTACAGATGGAGAATGAATTAGATTCTGCTCGTTCTGAAATAGAACTCCTCAGGAGTCAGATGACAAATGAGAGAATCTCGATGCAGAATCTAGAAGCTCTGCTGGTGGCCAATCGAGACAAAGAATATCAGTCTCAGATAGCACTTCAAGAAAAAGAATCTGAAATTCAGCTTCTTAAAGAACACCTTTGTTTGGCAGAAAATAAAATGTGAGTTGGTTAGCAATATAATGACAAAGTCATGTTTCTTAAATTTTTGGTACTTTATGTTAGTAGAATTTTAAAGCTGGAATTTATATAATTTAAGTGTCCATAATTTGCCATTAATTAAACTGAGGACCAGAAATATTGTAATTTGCCTAAGATTTAGTACTTACTTCCATTATCTGTTTAGCTAAATTGATTTAAATTTAAGTTTAATCATCTGTTGATTGTTCCCAATAGAGCTTTGGATATATAGGATGTCCGAATATTGCTCTTAGGAAATATTATAACCAAATTAGAAAAAACCCTTCTGAAACCAGAAGAATTTTTCCATATATGTACCCACATGGTATTGCTACCTAATCTTTCCATTTGTCACTCAGTATTTCCTTATGTACCTATAATTGTACATACTAGGTACCTGAAAGAACTCCTGCATCCACAGAATACTAAAGACTTCCCTTAAAGTATTGATTTTTGCTTATTTATTTATTTACTTACTTAAATTTATTAATTTGCTATACTTATTTTATTATTGAATTTATTGGGGTGACAGTCGTTAACAAAATTTTATAGGTTTCACATGCACAGTTCTACAACACATTGTCTGTACTCTGTATTGTGTGTTCACCATCCCAAGTAAAGTCTCCGTTTTTCACCATTTATCTCTCCGTACCCTCCTCCACCACCCCTCACCCTCTTTCCCCAGGCAATCGCCACTCTGTTGTCCCTGACTATGAGGGCTTCTTCCTTGAGAATCCCTAGCACCGTTAGCAACTTATTACGTGACCTTAGTGGGAAGATTAGGTAGAAATGCCTACCTGGCTAGTGAATATTCTATTATTAAACTTGATCACCTCTCACAAAAAATTAAAGAGGCCCCGTAGCCTCTATTCTTATCTGTCTCATTTATAACACTTTTTCATCCGGCCTCAACTCTGCCCTCCTGTCTGAGCTTGGGACCTGGGGAAGGATTGGAATCACAGTATCAGGAATCAGCCACTCTTAGGCGCCGCATACTAAGCAAAGTCTGAAAAGCCAGTTTCTTCAGAAACTTTTTTCTGGTTATGTCAGCTGTCACTGAGTCATTCTTTTTAGTCAACACAACTGGCCTCTTGTGATACCTTCAACCAGTTTTGCAAGATCACTTTCTCAAGCTGGTAGGTGGAAATCTGCCTTAGTGAAGTATAACAAAATTCCCACCTTAAAGTGTACATTCTGTTTTAGACCAGCTAATAAGTACAATCTCTTAGAATTGGTAAACATGATTAACTTTTTTGTTGTTAGTCTCTAAGTTTAGATTTCAGTAGCCTATAATGCAGTCGCAGCAGAGAGGATAGAGTGTTCTGTACAAGCAGCATTAATCTCAGTCATAATCATCCCTATGATAGTATGCCTTGCTACAGGGTTTTTGTAGCATTGTTTAGCCCTAAAGAAGATCCCATTAAATTGAAGAGAGTGTACAGGTATATCAAATTTAATTGCAAACTATATGTAAAACACTTCCTTGATTTAATATATATAACTGATCATATTAATCATGGTACTAGTACATTCCAGTTTTGATTATTTGGTTATACTATTACTTTGCATATAATACTTCAAAATTCTTTTATAAAAATAATTTGCAGTAAATATATAATATATAATATATACAGATAGTAGATAATATTCATGAAAACACAGGGAAACTGACACAGAGAAGGTTGATTGAATGTGACTGGCACAGCTTAAGCTTTTCAAGTAGGCTACTTTGTACATTTACTACATCTAAAACTGGCATATACATCCATAAAAATCACAATTTGGCTGGAGTCCAGCTGAACAAATTGTCAACATGGTTCAGTGTACCCCAGGAGTCCTAGACATATTTTAAGTTTAATCAACTGTCACTCTTGTATTCTTTTACACAGGGCCATCCAGAGTAGAGATGTGGCCCAGTTCAGAAATGTTGTAACACAGCTGGAAGCTGATTTAGACATTACCAAAAGACAACTAGGAACAGAGCGCTTTGAGAGGTAAGTTGGTCTCTATGCAATATTTAGCCCGGGAAGCATTGCTTCTTAGATAGCAACAGATTTTGATTATTTATGATGGCTAAGTTTTAAAGTATGAATTGAACTTCAGTTTTATGACAGTGTTAATAATGTCACTGGGTATAAAGTTTAAAAACATCTCTTTTAAACTTTTTTGCTTTAGGGAGAGGGCTGTGCAAGAACTTCGTCGCCAGAATTATTCAAGTAATGCTTATCATTTGAGCTCTACAATAAAGCCAAATACAAAATGTCATTCACCGGATCGTGCTCACCATCGATCTCCTGACCGAGGCCTAGATCGATCACTAGAAGAGTGAGTGGTTTAAGGATCCTTCTGTGGGACCATATAGTAATATATACAGTGAATATTTGAGGGTGTAAGGAAACTCGGTGACAGTTTATCATTAATAGTGCTGTTTAAACATGATTAGATATGTAGATATGTTCACATAAAGTAAAGCATTTTGATAACTATTTTTATATAAATATTCTAAAATGAAAAATCTGTATCTGTTTACATAAATTATATTTTTAAAGTTTGATTTTCTTATTAATTTTTAAGTTTAATAAATAAATTTAATTAACTTATTAACTTTGATTGGTAAAATATTGGTTAATTTTTATAGCACAAAAAATATCTATGCTCTAGGAAAGATAATTTTTTAGGGGCAATATTTTAGATATATTCCTATATATCACAAATTTAATAAAAACATTTTTCTTTGGAAATAATTTCAAACTTACGAAAAGTAACAAATATAAAAAAATAATACAAAGAACATCTTTATACCTTTTACCTATACTCAATATGTTAAGATTTTACCTCATTTGCTTTTTATGTGTTTATGGCACAATACATGTTCTGTCTTACATGCTCACATTCTTGTACATGCTCCTTCTCTATATTTTTTACAAAATAATCAGTAATTCCAGTTCCAAACCATCCTCATGGATTTCTTCCTTGACTTCCTTCCATTCTATATTTGTATATCCTTTCTTCTACAATGGGAACCCTGACTCAACATCAACACATTTACCTGATATCAGCATAGTTAACTCATTTGCTCAACCCCAGAATGCCTCAAAAATGTTTCAAAATTTCTCACCTATGTCACTACAATAAGCATACTAAGTTTTTAAAGAGGTTCAGGAACTTTTTGCAACTTTCCTTCCTTTCCCCATATGAAGACTACCTTTAGGCCCAAGTCTGGTGGCCATATAGTTAAATAATTGTGTTCATAAAATACTAAGGTTATTTTTTTCTTTCTCTGTGGTTATTGTATGTATACATTTGAAATAACATGATATTTTCTGTTCCAATTTGCTTTTGTTTTTCATTTTTCCTCTTCTAGTTTTTTCCTTCATTTAATTTTTGAGTATGTAAATTAATATGGTTTTAAAAGTCAAAATTTTGCAAAAGTAATACTCAAAATATCATTCTCTCATAAACTTTCTATCCCATGCCTCCTCTGAGGAGGGCTATTTTTCTGTTTTGGTTTCATTTTAAATTTCTAGTGTTCACTGTGATTAGAGAATTTTGTTCATAGTATTTCTATTTTATGGAAACTGCTGATGTGTTCTTCATATTTTAGTACATGGTCAATTTTTGTGCACTTAAGAAGATATAGTCTTCTCAGGGTGTAGAGTATATATATCTAAAATTGTACTTTTAAATTCTTATTGAGCTCTTTTATATTGTTGCCTAATTTTTGTTCACTTGATCTATTTTACTAAGAATGTTTTTTAAGTATGTTTTATTGATTATGCTACTACAGTTTGCTTGTTCGGCTCTCACCCTGCTTTCAGTCACTTCCCTGCTATCCACAAGAGAGCTGAGGCCTTTGAGGTGCTGCCCTGGTTCAGATTCTTGGATGGGTATTCTTGTGTATGTTCTAGGACCCCATGGACCCCTCCAGTGGACTTTCCTGTGAGACAGGCAGTTTCTCCCACTGCCCCACAAGTTTTTACAGCCAGAGATTTTGAGTGTTTATTTTCCTAGTGCTGAAACCCTGGGTTGCATGGTCAGTCTTGCTCCACAGTTGTTCCTCCAGGCTTAAACACATGTGAATGTGGGACCTCCCAGTCTGTCACCTGCCACCTTGCCTGGATCTGCCAGCTGCTGCCTCGCTGCACATCCTCTCTGCCCGGCATCCCAGCTCTGCCCCTCCTATCAGTGTGGGTGAATGTTTCTCCTTTAACTCGTTGGTTGTCAGACTTCCATACAATTTAATTTTCTGGCAGTTCTGGTTGTTTTTTGTTTTTAAATTGGTTTTTGTCCTTTTGGCTGTGTGAGGAAGTGAAGCGTATCTACCTACGCCTCCATCTTGGCCAGAAGTCTTCTAAGAATATTTTTAAAATCTATTATTAGTATGTTTTTATTTCTTCTTGTATCCTATAAATTTTATTTTATATAGGTGGTTTGTGGTTTTATTTGTCGCATAGATATTCTAAACTATTATACCATCACTGTGGAATGTGTTCCTTTTATGAAGTATTCCTTTCTGACACATTTAATTTTTTTGGAGGGGGTGGTGGCTTGGAATCTACTTTGTAAAATAGTTAAAACTCCTTTTTCTTTATTTTCTTTGTTTGCTTGGTAAATCTTTGTCAAACTCTTTAGCTTTTTTAAATCACTGCATTTTAAGTATCCTCTTATATATAGTATGGATTTAAGTTCTACTTTATGAGCCATTTGAAATTCTTTTTTGAAATAATAGGTAAATTAAGCTCCTTCACATTATTGAGGTGAGCATTAAATTTGGCCTCAACTTTGTTATATCATCTGATGATAATTGTGTTTATTATGTGACTTTTACTGTATTTCTTTCTTTATGTGTTTATTCCTCTTAGTTTTTGAATGGTTCTTTTGATATTCAGGAAGGTGTGTATTTTATTATAGCTGCTACCTTTCTATTAATACTTCCAATGGTGGCCTTAATCCTTTTTTTTTCTTTTATTGAATTTATTGGGATGATATTGGTTAATAAAATTATATAGGTTTCAGGTATACAATTCTATAATACATCATCTGTATATTGTTTTTTGTGTTCACCATCCCAAATCAAGTCTTCTTCCATTACCATTTATCCTCCCACACCATCTTACACATTCCCCAACCCCTTTCTGTCTCGTAGTCACCATACCATTTGTCTGTGTCTGTAAGGGTTTTTCCCCCTGCCCCCGGCTTAATCACTTAAGCTTTTTCACCCAACCTGGCAACTCCTTTCCCCTCTGTCAGATGTCAGTATGTTCTCTATCTATGAGTCTGTTTTCATTTTGTTAGTTTATTTTGTGCATTAGATACCACATATGAGTGAAATCGTGGTACTTGTCTTTCTCTCTGACTGGCTTATTTCGCTTAGCATAATGCTCTCCAGATCTATCCATGTTGTCACAAAGGGTAGTAGTATTCCATTGTGTAAACTTACTACAGCTTTCTTATCCATTTATCTACTGATGGATATTTGGGCTGTTTCCAAATCTTGGGCCTATAAGTAGCACTGTAATGAGCACATGGATGCATATACTCTTTTGAATTAGTGTTTTGGGTTTCTTTGGATATATTCCCAGAAGTGGAATGGTTAGGTCATAAGAGAGTTCCATTTTTAATTTTTTGAGGAAACTCCGTACAGTTTTCCACAGTGGTTGCACCAATCTGCATTCATACCAACAGTATAGGTGGGTTCCCTTTTCTCCAGATCCTCACCAACACTTGTTGTTTGTTGATTTATTTATGATACCATCCTAACAGGTGTCAGGTAATATCTCATTGTGGTTTCAAAGTGCGTTTCTCTGATGATTAGTGATGTTGAGCATCTTTTTTTTTTTTGTATTAGTGAGGTACATGTATTACAATTGATGTACAGATTCTGATACATTATTGCTAACTAAAGCCCACAATTTGTATTAGGGTTGTCTTTTTGTGTAATACAGTTCTATGGATTTAAGCAAATGCATAATCTTATAATCACTCATTACACTATAATAAAGAATATTTCAAAATCCTTTAACTGCTCTGTGTTCCTCCTATTCATCTAAAGTCCCACCCTCTTATACCTGGCAACCACTGATTTTTTTTCCTATTTATTTTTTTTATTGTTCAAATACATTTGTCTCCATTTTTCTGCCACCACTTATCCGTGCCCTACACACCACCACCTCCCACCCTCAATCCTTCCCCACTTTGGCTTTGTCCCCATGTCTTTTATACATGATCCTTGATTTGGCCCTTCCCTTCTTTTCTCCATTACCCCCTTCCCTCCTCCCTCTCATTACTGTCAGTTTCTTTTTTTCTTTCAATGTTGCTGGTTATATTTTTCTTGCTTGTTTGTTTTGTTGGTTAGGTTCCACTTATAGGTGAGATCATATGGTGTTTGTCTTTCACCCCCTGGCTTATTTCACTTAGCATAATGCTCTCAAGTTCCATCCATGCTGTTGCAAAAAGTAGTAGATCTTTCCTTCTTTCTGCTGCGTAGTATTCCATTGTGTAAATGTACCATTGTTTTCTGATCCACTCATTTATTGATGGGCACTTAGGTTACTTCCAGCACTTGGCTATTGTAAATTGTGCTGCTATGAATGTTGGGGTGCATTGTTTTTCTGAATTGGTGTTTCAGGATTAGTGTAAAATCTCAGCAGTGGAATTTTTGGGTCAAAAGGCTGTTCCATTTTAAGCTTCCTGAGGGAATTCCAAACTCATTTCAACAGAGGCTGCACCAGTCTGCATTCGCACCAACAGTGTACTAGAGTACCCTTTTCTCCACAACCTCGCCAGCACTTGTTGTTTGTTGATAAGTTTATGACGGCCATTCTGCCTGGTGCGAAGTGGTATCTCATTGTGCTTTTCATTTGCATTTCTCTGATGGCTAGTGATGCTGAGCATCCTTTCATATGTCTATGGCCCCAGTGTACATTCTCCCTAGAGAAGTGTCTGTTCAGGTCCTTTGCCCATTTTTTAATTGGATTGTTTGTCTTCCTGGAGTGGAGATGTGTGAGTTCTTTATATATTTTGGAGATCAAACCCTTGTCCAAGGTATCGTTGGCAAATATATTTTCCCATACGGTTGGTTCCCTTTTCATTTTGCTCATGTTTTCTTAAGCCATGCAGAAGTTTCTTATATTGATGAAGTCCCACTTGTTTATTCTTTCCTTTATGTCCCTTGCTTTAGGGGACATATAGGTGAAATATCGCTACATGGAATATCAGAAAGTTTCCTGCCTAAGTTCTTCTCTAGGACTTTTATGGTGTTGCGACTTATATTTAATTTTTTTTTTCGTCTCGAGTTTATTTTTGTGTGTTTGGTGTAAGTTGGTGGCC